TATAAAGCTTTATTTGAAATTAATACGTATTTATGGAACTTTACATCTCTGATGTAATAAATACTTTCTTTTTCAATAGAAACTTTTCACCTTTGTATTCTCTACGTTGGCCTTAAGGGATGGTGTATCTAGTAATAGAGAAAACAGAGATATTGTAGAATAAAACAAAGGATAGAACTCATTGATGTATAACATGACCACCATAAAGTACAAGAAAAAAAACTTGAAATAAACAGCTCAGCCAAGAGTAGAAATTATTATGAAAATTCCAAATAAGTACCCCGTGCAATGTTGCAGATGCTGTAAATCGTATATCTCTTGACCAATTCATTATTGCTTTTGTTTCTGGTTGCCGGGAATCCTCATCATTGTTTACAAAGATGAACTGTTGGTTCATTTGAGACAGTCATAGCAGGTTAGTTCTCAGATGATCTCTAGCAAGAAAAAGCAGTATGTAGAACCATAACAACATGGTATGAAAAACCTAACATTAAAATTTATATTAAATGCAAAAGTTAAGCCAAGAATGTGAGTAAACATCGAGAAAGTAAAAGCTTGTTTTCCTAATATTAACAATATGAATAAACGGTGACACATATTTATACAAAGACATTAACAAATATATTCAAACAATATCATAATCTTCTTAGTTATGGCCATAATAGTAAAATCTCAGTCAAAAAAGTACAACAAATAAGAATGAATTTTCACGTTAAGAGTTTTATTTCATGGTAATAATGAGCTTCAAACTAAATTTTTAACATATTATAAACAGAACATTATTAAAAAAAAACCTGGTCAGGAAAATCCCGATTCAGATCAATATTATTTGCATTGCCACGCTTCCTTAAGGTGAAGCCATCAGGATTCATTGATGGAAGTAAATGAAGGTGAACATTCTCCACAATCAATGTGGCCTGAAACATTTTGCTAAACGTAAGACATTGTAAAAGTAAAAACTGGATCATAAAATAACAACAGTTTCCCTGAAAAATACAAAACTCAATGCTTAAACTGAATTCTGATATATTGGAGGCGTAGGTTATACACGTTTGTTAAATTAAATAAACTTGTAAAACAAATAGAGATTGTCATGTGACATTCAATCATCAGAAATTTCAGGGCTGCAGGATAATTTTCTTTTGGCCATCCGCTAAAACTTGTGTGATGGATAATAGATATTGCAACCATTTTTGTCACCACAACAAATGCGAAGAAAAGAAATTAGAATATACTTCTGCAAATAAAGAAAGGAAGTGAAACATACCAGAGGATCTTTTAAATGGTTATCGCATAACCAATTGGCCAAAAACATAATAAGCTCACGGCCCACGGGTTCGTCTCCATGCACATTTCCAATATACTGCATCAGTATTATACTGGTTACAAAACTGCTGATTTCAAAAGAACGGAGCGAATCGGGCGGCGACGGTGAGGAACGGAGCGGAATCGGCGGCGACGGTGAGGAACAAGCGGAATCGGGCGTCGCGGAAGTGGTGTTGGCGGCGACGGTCGTGGAAAATGGGTCGATAATGGCAGCGGCGACGGTCGTGGAAAATGGGTCGAAAATGGTCGAAATGGAAACTGTACAGTTTTCACGTATAAATGAAAATAGTGTTTACACTTTTTTACATCGGTGGAAACCCCCACCGATATAAGGGGTTGGGCTATTACATCGGTGGAAACTCCAACCGATGTAATAGGTTGCTTTTTTTTTTTAAATACGTGTCAGGCTATTACATCGGTGGAAACTTCCACCGATTTAATAGGTTGATTTTTTTTTTTTAGATACTTGTTAGGCTATTACATCGGTGGAAACTCCAACCGATGTAATAGGTTGCTTTTTTTTTTAAATACGTGTCAGGCTATTACATCGGTGGAGAGTCCGAACCGATGTAATAGCTTACCTTTTTTTTTTTTTTTTACCCACGTTTTTATGATTTATCAATATATTTTATATATTAATTCAATCACATTTTTTACATCGGTTTTTATTTAAACCGATGTAATATATTGCTTATATTTTTTTTTAACTTTTTTGTCACCTTGTTTCTTATTTACAAAAATGCCACCGTGTTTTTTTCTGGAAATCTTTTACATCGGTGGATCAGATTGCCCGATGTAATAGGTGACGAAAAAAATTGTTTCCCTTATTTTTTATATCATTGGAAATAAATACCTGATGTAAAAAGTTTGTTAACTGTATTTTTTACATCACCTATTTTGATACCCGATGTAAAAACCTTTTCTCAAATGTCTTTTTTTTAGTAGTGATATTATTAAGTCACAAGAAAAAATCTTCTTGCGACTTAGCAATGTTTTGTTTTTGTGAATCTTGCAGCATTAATTTCTTATGTAGATTGAAAAAAGATCTAGTTAAATTTATTATATCATATGTAAATTTCGTATTTCACTAACCCTTTCATTGAACATGCATTCATTTAAATTATTTAGAAAATAATAATCTGAAACTTAAGTTATATTTGTGAACAAACTAAGATCAATCACTAGTTTTCAAATTACATGCATCTCGTAATTCATCTCTCTCTCTCTCTAACATATAGAATTTGATTCGATGACCTAAGTTCTTCGTAGAAACAATTCCTTCTCTTCTAGTTTATTTTGAAAAGCATCAATTATTGACTAATTTTGATTCATCGTCATCACTGCCATCATAATAATCATCGGTGTCGTTTAAAATAATAATAATAACGATGATAGTGATGATGATGAATCTGAATTAGTCAATAAATTGATGCTTTTAAAAATACACTAGAAGAGAAGGAACCATTGCTATGAAGAATTTAGATCATTGAACCAAATTCTATATGTTAAAGAGCGAGAGATGAATTACGAGATACATGTAGTTCGAAAAACAATAGTTCGTTTAAGTTATTTTTTTCAAGAATAATTTAATTTATTGTATACATACCACAACGGTTGTTTTTTAGAACTGCGGTGAAATGTTAATTTTATTCTAATTAAATTGATGCTTATATATATATATATATATATATATATATATATATATATATATATATATATATATATATATATATATATATATATATATATATATATATATATATCAACGGTTGCTTAAGATAATTATTGTGATAGTTAGCGTGCAATTTAGTTTATGACCACGGTCACACGTAAGTGATGGAAAATAACATACTTACAATCCGATACTATTTAACAACAGACATACAATCACCATTATATATATTTCACAACTGTTATCATATGTGTTTTTCGTTGTAATGATTTCTTATAAAAATTTATACAAACATGTCATATGGGTCTCATAGATATACCTCATCCTTCTCCACCTCAAATAACTCCACTTTATCCTTACGCACCTTAGACTGGAGACTGAGGTTGCGAGGTTGTTGCTAAGCTGGTTCAACTCTATCTACATTTATCTTACGTGTACACTCTTGGCTAATATAGGCAGGAGATGAGTCTCTGTTTTTCCTAAAGTGGATCTTCAAATTGTTTATGGCCCAACAACAACAAATAATTAAACAAAAAATAATTAATCAGTCAATTTGATAAAGAAAAATCATATACTTTCAAATGAGCATATAGTTTGTCATTGTTTGGATTATATAATTTAATTGATGGCATACAATCTAGCATGCATGTGAGCGTGTTTGAATTCTATAACATAAAGATTCTTCTCTCTTCATCTCATAATGAATGAGTCGTTGATTATTTCATATATATTAAATAAAATATATAAATTCATCTCATAATGAATGAGTCGTTGATTATTTCATATATATTAAATAAAATATATAAAAGTAAGAGAGAATAATATTTTTACTATAATACAAAATATCATTTATCATGTATTGAAAATAATGAAAATTTTATTAGTTAGATGATAAAATTTAGAAAAAGCGTATTGAAAATTGAAATAGATATTTTATTTTGAGATATTATTTTATTCTAAATAGATCATTTGTTATAGAACAGACAAAGTATAATGTATTCTCAAATTCTACATCTAAACAAAACTGGCAACTTAGAAAATAAAAGAAAGAGATGCATTAAATCAAATAATCAAACATATGTTCTAACTTTTTTATTTTATTTTATTTATTTTTATATATGCATGATTCGAGCAAAATTCGATCAAAATGAGGCAATATAGAAATTTTGGAATTGAGGGGTGAAAATGCAGTAAATGTTAAAGTGGTGGAAAATTACATCGAATAATATATAGCATAAACATATCCTTATAAATCGGGATAATCTTCACTCTATAAATTGATTTTGTAGAGTTGAGTTAAATTCAACCACATTTTTTAACATGATATCAAGAGTGTCATTATGACATGAACATGTCATTATAAATTTTTTTATTTTAAAGCTGATTTTGTAGGATTGAATTAGATGTTAAAATCATGAGGCATTTTTATGAAAGGTTTCAAATCATGAGTCATTTTTATGAAAGTTTAGATTTAAGAAACCTTTAGATTGTATTTGTCATCTCTGAGATGGATAACATATGCTTCAGCTAGACTCTAAGCTGTCATATTGTTGGAGTCTACTCTTTTTCATTCTATTAAGTACAGTAAATATTTGAGCTTAAGTATCGTGGATGAAGAAAAAATGTTATCGAAGAAATCGGAAATACATTTGCTACTTTTACTATTTATTTTACTATAGTAACTTTCGGTATATATTTGAAGATGGATAGTAAGAGAGAATAGTGGTTATCAGAGAGATAGAGAGAAAGGTACTGATTCCATTATTTGATAGAATCAAGAACTTTCACGATGTCCTGTCATTTTTTACTTCTTAAAATAAATAAATGTTTCAATTTGAGAATGACTAACACATTTGTTTATCAGAATAATTTGAGAAGTTATAATACGTTAACCTTGATCAATTTTAAGTGATCCAGTTCATTTATTATTTTGTTATTATGCTTAATATAAATATTAACCATCCAAATTACAATTTCAGCCAGTGTCCCTAATCATCAAGTTTCATCTCAAATTCAACGTTAGTAACTCCGGATTTTCAATTAATTTTTTCCACTCGTTGCAAAATCTTGCCACGGTTGCTCCATCCAAAACTCTATGATCTGCACCAATATTAACCTGGAAGCAGAACAAAAAAAATCAGATAATGCAGTTTATTTCATCTTCTAACCTACTCAAAAATCATAAATAAAGAATAACAACACTAGATTAATAAATTAACAATATCATTGGAGATTATTATAGTTCCTTTCAAAATCTGGTTTTTGACTCGTTCATGCATCCGGTTTATGAATTTAAAGATGCAAGACTTACTGTCATGAGTGATGCGGGATACACACTACCATCTCCAGTAAACCGAGGAAGCTTCTGAATTCGACCGATGGCAATAATGGAGACTTCGGGAAGATTAAGAAGCGGGGAACCAAATTTTCCGCCGATTGCTCCAATGTTGCTCAAAGTGATTGTTCCACCACATATATCCTCAGAAGTTAACTTGTTATCTGAAGCCAATTGTTGCAACCTTGCTAGCTCTTTGGTTATCTTTACAAACAGAAATTTTGATTGATTAGAACAGGCTTTATAATTTAAGAGCATTGTACAACATGCACACAGCAATGTGCATATATTTTAACAATAATAGGATTGTAAACTAACCTCCGAAATGGAAAGAGACTGAACATTTTTTATATTCGGCACAACTAGACCATGTTGTGTTGCCATGGCAATTCCGATGTTGTGCGAACCTGTATGAAATATACCTATTGTGTTAAATTTGGTAAGATACCAAGATAGCTACTACTACAAATAAATCATCAAAATTAACAGTCGCGGCCTCAGAATTCAATAATCACCAAGTGAAAAAAGGTTCAACATCAATGACTTTTTTAGCTCACGCATAGCATGAGAACATCATAAATTAGATATTGTGCAAGGAAACTATGTAAACATTATCCTTGTGAATCCCATGATCAATTCATTGGTAAAAAAAACTTCTCAAACACATAAGTTTATGCACCAGAAATCAATATATATGCTAACACAGTAGTTCAATTTGAAGATTATTTTGCATACACGACAAGGACCAAAGAAACTAGGCTAATAACGAGTGCAACATGTTTAAGCTCGCCATGATTTTTAAGCAATAGTTTCTATTTTTCTTGAATACATATTTTGACTATATTAAAACTCAACAATCAAGCTTCAAGAAAGGGTACCAAAATTTAAACAAGCATTCGTCTAATTATGTATGAGAACAAACCTTTGAGTATGACTTCAAACGCATCCTCTTTGAAGCGACTATTCACAGAGGGGTACTTGATGATGGCCATTGATAGTGACTTGATTAATATTGGAAGGAAAGTGTGCTTGACATCTGGATAAGGATTATTCTTTTGAAAAGACGTTTTAAGCTCTACTAGGGCATCACAATTTATCTCGTCCACATAATGAAAATGTGGGACTTTGGCAGCCAGAGACATTGATTTTATCATCGCTCTTTGGAATCCCCTAGATAAAGAAAAGAAAACAAATATCATTAACCTTCCCATGACCAAGTTCTATATAATTCAAGTCCTGCAACTGAAAGAGTAAAGGAAAACACCTTTATACTCTTGCAAGTTCGCAACACTCATGCTCATCACAGTTGAATAAAAGTTAACATAAATGACTAACAGACATCCACTCCCTTCTCATAAGAAAAAGTATAAAGCTTGTTTGATGGTAAGAAAATGATAGAGACGGATATGATAAGTGAGTTGAATAAGTATACGATATGATATGAACATGATAAAGTCTTATGCATATTTTGTTTTTGATGTACATCCGGCATCCTAACACGACGGAGTTGAACTCAGATTCATCTCTAGGATAAGATTTTAACTAGAGAGACAAGATAGGATAAGGTAACATGATTAGCTTATCATATCTTCTTGAGACAAAATATGATAGTTTATCTTATCTTGTCTTGTCTTTCTTATCCTAACCATCAAACGGATCCAAAAGAGTTCAAATTCATGTTCGCATTCAATTTTACCTAAGGGGTAGTATTGTGTCCTCAGAAGGCTTATCATATTTACTTTTCACATCACATCCGTGTTCTTCTGCTCCATGAAGCTGTTCTACAAAATCAGCATGCAAAACAGCAGATGGAGTTTTAGCGATTCCTTTGTTGACAGAAAATTTGAGCACATCTTCTTTTAAAACCCTTCCATCTTTTCCAGTTCCACACACATCATTTATATCTATACCATGCTCCTTTGCTAGACACCTCACAGCAGGTGTTGATAGAACTCCTGCTCGTTTCCCCTTTCCATCATCAGAATCTAGTTGCTTTACATTTTCTGAGTCTGCTAAATTTATCGTAGTAACTGCAGATTCATTGACAGATATCTGATCAGAATCAGAATCAGATGACTTTGCATTTTCAGAGGCACCAAAATTCATTGAAGAACATGCAGGCTCATCAATTGATATCTTTAAAAGGGTTGCTCCAACCTGAAATTTTATCAAAAGAAGCTTAAATATACCCGATAGAAATAATGTTTATTGTTATTATGAACAAAAAGAATGCACAAATCCCCTCAAAATTTAAGAGATCCAGAACTCCATCACATGCCATTTCTAATCTATGAAGCACGGACACCCTGAAAATGACACAGACAATGACACAACAACACCGCTAATAATTTGAAAAATGAATAAATTAAATGTAATCACAAGTGTCGGTGCCGGTGTCCGACACGGACATAGACAGTCTTATTTCCGAGGTGTCGGTGCTATAGAGTTTCTAATTCATATTCCTTCAAACATGTTTAAAATACATTGTATTAAGTCTAATCAGAAATGCGGTACGTCAGTAATCAAATTCTCCCAACCCCTCTCACAATGCATCCTAACAATTTCTAAATTGTAACTCTAAGCATCATCTCACTGAATTATACCCACATTACGAGTTTTCATATCTCACCTTTACAATGTCACCAGGAACATGAAGAATATTACAAACTTTTCCTTTATACCGACTCGTGATTTCTATAGTAGCTTTATCACTTTGAACTTCACACAATGGTTGAAAATCTTCAATAAAATCACCCTGCCATTACAATCAATCAGTCACCATCAATCACGAAACTCGATTGAAAAAAATGCTTACATCAAATCAAAGCACTCACCTCTTGAACATACCATTTGAGAAGTTCACATTCTGCAATACCTTCCCCAGTCTGCGCCAAAGGGATCTCAACAACGTTCCCCACGGGAACGTTCAAAACAGGATGAGCAGAAAAGCAATACCCCTTAACATTCTTAAAATTGAACTACAAAACACAAATTCAATAAGGGATCCATGAAATTCATCAAACATGCTACTGATAAAATAAAAACTCACATCTAAGCGAGAATTAGGTTTATCTGAAAGAAAAGATCGCGAAACAGAGGAATAGTAAGAGGGGGAGGAGGAGGAGGAGGAGAACTCAGAAGCAGAAGGACGGAACAATCTCCGGCCGTAGATCAAAGCTCTTCTCTGGCAAATCCGGTGGCTAAGCATCATTGCAACGATCAAGCGAGACAAAAAGGGTTATATATATTTTGTGTAGGTTACGTGTTTGTTTAGTTGCGTTGTTGATGTGATGGTGAAAACAAGGGAATTTGAAGAGAAGAAGGAGAGGTTTGGAAGTGAAAGAAGGAAACTCTAGTTTAGTGAAAGAAGGAAACTCTAGTTTTGGAGTGAACATAGCACTGTTGCATGCTGACGATGTGTTGAGTTGTAAATAATGAATGGATAGTTTGTTCAAACTCAGCATGGGATGGACAGATAAGGACGACTTCGTGGGTTCAACTCTATCTGTCGATGTGGGTGAACTGTTAATATATTTGTAAAGGTTCTTTAAACTTTAAACTCTGCCAATATCCTGATGAGTCTCGGACTCCAACTCACGTAAACTTTTTGTTATAAAAAAATGTAATTAACTTATCTTCTTCGGATGGAATCACGTGAGTTAAATATATACTTGTATTAAACAAATTATATTAAGTGCCTATAAATGAAATAAAATAGAAAAACAATGAATTTAGAGTTTTAAGGATGGGGTTCCCTATTTTGTCTCAAAATAGGAGATTTTGATCCTTGATTTTTTTCGGATGAACTGACACAGTAAAATTTTAATTCATAATTGATTTTCTAGAAAACTAAACTTTTACGTTAGGTCGCGTAAATGTCAGAGACGTAGAAACGCGAGGTCTAGAACATCGAGATTATTTAGTTAATAATTATTTTATTATAAAATATATCAATTATTACATTTCACCATTATAATTAGAAATTTAATTATTGATTCATTGTTTAATTTTATATTATAAATTTATTTTAATATTTATTTTTCAATTATAAATTTAAGTTATTATTTATTAATAATAACTCAATTTAGTTATCGTATAACTATATTATAAATATATATCTTTTCAAAATAAAATCAAAAGAAATTTGAGATGTTAGATTATTTTAGATATACATATCTGAAATCTCCAAGAAAATAAAAAATAGAGGTTCCTTCGGATATGCATATGCGAAATTATTCAATATCCTAAATTCACAATGTGCGTTCAGATGTGCATATCCGAAGAGTATTTTCAGTTTTTCAGAGGTTTAACTCAACACTATTATGTGTGAAGAGAAATTCTCTATATTTATAGATAAGAGTATTGGTAACAACACTTACTCCAACCCTCTTCAAACAAAAATGTATGGGGTTTTCATCAACTTTGATTAGATCTTGGAACACATATTTTCTTCGTTATGATATATGAATATTCAATGTTAAGGTACTATGATATATTTCTTAATTTTGTTGTTGAGCAAATTTGAAACATAGACACATTTATTTATAGATATGAAATATCTTTGAGTCATTTTTATTAGTTTTCGGAGGTCTTTTGTTCTATGTTTTTTGATCTTACTGGTTGATCAGAACCTGAAAGTGGATTTTGATAATGATGTTTGCTTGATTGGAAATATGAGAAGAGAGGGGGTGTACCTGCAAGGCACTTCGACGATCAAGTAAGAATGAGTGCAAATAGATACAAGAAATATTTTAGGGTTTTTAGTATGAATATTGGATACCTGGCCTCATAAGTGTGAGGGTTTATCTAATGCCTCCGGCGCAGAGCCGTTGATCCTTACTTTTGGGCCTAGATATTAGGTTCTTTGAAAATAGGTAACTTCTAGGACCTGGTCAAAACGGGCAGTCGTGCATGTAACTAGTTGTTGCTCCGGGCAAGGATGAGATGACAGACAGACGCGTTGCAAGCGCCAGTCTGGTTGTCTGTTTGACATGCAATGAGCAGATTGGGGAGTGGTAGTTGGATAGCATGATCAGGGCGTCGTTGGTCTCGCAGTCCCAAGGGGTGGGTGATCAGATGTGCCTAACCCAAGGCCATAATTAGTGGGCCAGCGCTTGTTGGGCCATGCTGGAGATATGAGTGGATTGGGCCCATTCTAGTCATTGGGCCAGACTAGAACATGACCCCCCAATTCATTGCTTTTGGGCAGAGGAGCGATGACTTTAAGAAATACTCGCAAAATGAGGGTGCTCTTTGATCTATTTCGTACAAGAAGTACAAGTGATGCTTGGTGTGTTCGCCTCGCGTGGAGAGGAACAATTGAGTGGCTTTGAGAAGTTATCGTGTTGCGTACGCATCGAGCCACGTGTTGTCATAAAGGTATCATGTTGGCTAGTCAAGGAACTAGGGTGTAATGATGTTGCCTTTTAGAGTTCCCAAGACACGTGCTCGCTCACGTGCTAACAATCTTCTCTATAAAAGGCGGAGATAGAGCTTCATCTGCAGTTTTCACTTGCTTTTCTTCTGCTCGTTACTGCTCAATTTTTGCCCGACACAGTTGTTCAAATTTCCTGCTTGTTCTGTCATTCACCGTTGATAACTATCAATAATCTGTTAAGTTTCTCGATTTTTCCTTATTTTAATGGAGTTTGCCTCTGTTCTAGGATATATTTTCTGCTTCTTTTCCTAGAAATACACGTGGCTAGGGTTTAGAGTAGCTTAGCGTGAGAATCCTCGACGAAGTGTTGGCTTTAGATGGTGGTTTCGTCGCCTGAGGATGATAGCTCCTCAGTGAGCTTTGTTAGAGATTTCATGGATATAAGGTTGGTGATAGTGGTTCTTGATGAACTTTCTGGTGGCGTTGGGGCCGTTCTGGGTTTCATCCGTGATCTTCATAAGAAACGATGAGTCATAGCAAAAACCCAGAAGAGTTGGGGAGATATTTGCCCGCATGGTTTGTGTTCTAGCTCGGCGTGGACGCGCTTGATGTGAGAGTTTGCCTTTTGCGGTTGAGTGAGGGCTCTGGTCAGAGACATGGTCCTCGTTCCATTGTGCCCTTTCACTTGATTAGTGATGGAAGGATGAATTTGATTTTGATATCAAATACACTTTTGTCCTCTACTTTTCAGATACAATGGCCAACTATACTGATGATGAGTTCATGTGTGAGAACAATTATTCGTCACAAAGTTTATCTGAATACTAGTCGATCGAGGGAGCACTTCAGAAATGCTCGATCTTAATCTGATCGTGTCAAAACCAGGCAAGGCAGAGCAGGATGCGTCTGCGGTTTAGGGTGTGCCTATGGTTCGAGTGGATCCCTTAGATTGGGTAGCGTCAGGCCCCTTGGAACATGCCTCCTATTTTTGCAAGCATCCAGATGAGGTGTTCATCTCAGTGGTTTTGGGTATGTATTTGGAGGTCGCCGAGGAGGAGTGGTCGATATATATCTCTGGGAAGAACCAACAGATATGTTCGAAGTTTGAAGCGAACCATATTCTCATGTATGCAATTCGCTTTCAAAAGATGGGTTTCCAACTTCCTTTTACTGATCTCCAAGTGATTAGGCACCCCCGCCTTGCTTCGTCCCAGCTACATCCCAATTTGATTACTTTCCTACGGGCTTTCGATATTGTGTGTGACCATTTGCAGATAGGGGTCACCATTCCTCTATTTTTCTACTGCTTTCGCATCCAACGAGGCACCTCTGGTTCCCAATTCGGATGGGTTTCCCTCAAACAGTCGAACGGGAAGTTTTTCAAAGCCTACCTCGAGTCGGTTCAAGATTTTAAGGGGAGGTATATGCTAGTCTATCCTATGTCAGAGAAGGCGTTTCTAAACATTTTTAGGAGCACCCCACTGGTCGACAAGGCTTGGGGACCTGTGCTGAACGAGGAAAGGAATTTGGTGGTGAAACTGGTGTCGGTGTTTCGCTTTCATTGGTCGAGGAAACATTATGATACTGGGATCGACCATTATATCTGGAAGAAGGACCAGCTAGGTGTCGAGGAACAGGATATCCATGACCGTCTCTCGGCCTTTGTTGCGAGGATCCCCCTAGTTCAACGTGTGGGCAAAGGGGGGAGGTTGTTACCTGATGAGGATGGACATTTGATTTTTGAACCTGGTTTAATAAATTTCTAGGAGCTCCTCGAGAGTGAGGATTCTGTGGCATATTTGGGTAGTTTGCCCTTTATTTTGACCTGATTTGTATACGAGATTCTTTATCCTTGTTTGCTGACCTTAATTTTTTTCGTGCAGGAAGGATGAATCCCGCCCAGGAGCGTATGGCAAGATTGTTACTTCAGAAGGCGAATAAGGGGCAGAAGTCTCTTAAAGGTCCTTAAGCTGATGCGAGGACATCTCTCCAGTCGAGTTCTAGAACATCGTCGACCAACCATGCTGTTGGGCATCTCTCTCCTCAGCAGGTGTCTTCGAGGTTCAAGAGGTTGCATACAAAGGGTACTGCTGATTTGACCAGTGAACATCACAAGGGGAAGTTAGAGTTGCCTCCTTACTTTCATGATAAGGCTTTCTTCGGAGGTTCCGCCCTGCAACTTCATCAGGCTGAGTCTCTTATGCTTGAAGAGATGGATCGCCCGAGCAAGAGGGAGATGTTGGCTGGGGATGTCAGCGCTGTCATGAGGGCACCAAGAATGGTTGTGGAGTATACCTAGGAAGGCACCTCTCTAGAGGTCGAGCGAAAAAAGTCTTAGTCTGAGGTAACGAATCTGAAGGAGAAGCTCGCCACTACGGATGCTACGAATAAGGTGTCGATAGAGAAATTGGCTAAGCTGGGCGAGGAGTGCAAGACACTTGTTCAGGAGAAAAAGTCATTTGAGGAGACGGTTACATCCTTGAGGGATGAGGTATCTCTTAGTGAGGACGAGCCGTAGGAGGCCACGAGTTTGAAAACTTGGGCAGAATTGGTTGCTCGCCTTCAATTGGCCATTGAAGATGGTGTGGTCAATGCTGAAGGGTCTTTCAAAAATTTTGTGGAGAAGCTCTGAGTATTAAACTCTATCGTGGAGCTGAACACGGGTGGGATGGGAATCCTCTAGTATGTGGTTGACGGTAATATTGTGGTTCCTGAGTTACTCAAGGGTGCCGAGGAAGCATTAGTCGATGATCCTTCCCAGAGAGAGCATGTCCCTGAGGAGATGCTTTAGCTTGATGTTTTATTATTTTACTATCCTCTTTTGTTTCGGC